TTTTTTTACACTGCATACATTGAAAACTCTTTCCACGTGAAGCCAAAAGAGGCTCCAAAACACTATTTCCTGCTCAAAATACTTTGTGATATAAACTGAAGTCTTGCCTAAACTCCAAATGGTCATAGGCTGGATAGTGTCTCAAACATCCAGCAGTCTGCAAAAACAGGTCAATCATTTATCTTCTCACTATCCTCCTCCTCCACCACTCCTGAGGATCCTCAGCGCTCTACTCGTGGTTTCCTTTGCTACATTCTCCTTTGGGAAACAGTATTTTGTCTGATCTTCCTCCTTTTATCCTTCCACCCACACATCCACGAGCTGGGTTTCTAGCACTGAAACCTGCCATGCTCTGTGAACAGCCCATGGAATTATAAATGCCTGGAATCTCCCAGTCACAAATGAAAATTTGTAAAAATACTGTGAATTAATGTATGTACAAATTCTGTCTTAAATTAGGTACTTCTATCTTCATTAACTATTCAGTCTTGATTACTGCTCACTTCCTTACAATTTATTGGAATCATATACTCACCTGCTGCCTGAATTGCAGGAACTTGAGCTGGACTTACAGAAAGTGCCAGAAAAGAAGGACTAGGAGATGAAATATATTCTTTTGCACAAGTAAGATGTTTTTGCTTGTTTTCATCTGCCTAGAGTGTCGAAAGTCACAACTGTAAGTACACAACTCATAATCCTGAATAGTTACATTAGACATATGCCCTGAAAGTGAATGGAGGGCTGAATCTGAATTCTGCATATAAGCTTTTTCATTTGGTTACCAGGACAAATAATGACTAAATTACAAAGAGCTGGACTTCTGCACATAAAATCAGAACACTGAACACTTACATAGCAGAGAACAGACAGACAAAAATGTAGACTATTGCCAATTGGTTTTGTCCATGTCCAAAACCCCACAAGTTACTGACACTCCCATGCAAGACCAAGAATAATGAGCCTTAAAAACTGCCATCTGGCTCGTTGTTCATGAAGCCTGGACTGCCAATTTCTAAACTAAAATTTATAATAGCAGATTTTCAATTTCGTTATTGTTTTCATAAGACTCCACTGCCACCACTTCTGCACAAGACCTCACAGACAACAGTTAATAGTGATGGCTGCTATGCTGTATGATTGCATGTGGGTGCTGAGTCTTCCCAAATATGTCCTTATTTTGATACTATGTTTTAAAGGATTTTATAGTTTTTATCAGAACTTTTGCTTGGGCTGAGAGAAAGACAAATTTTTCCCATAGGAAATATGAAATTATAAAAATGTCACAAATAAAGACAACGAAATGTTACTGTCCATAAATATTTTTAAAAGTTCAGCTGTTCTTATAACAACTGAGGCTGTAAGACTGAGATAGTTATTGTGTATGTATGTCCTGTTAAATTATAACTAGAGGTACAGATTCTGATTATTTCATTGTTTAGAAGTAGTAAATCTGCTATGTAGCATTGCATTAATTAACTTTTCTCAATTACTCTCATTTGAGTATTTCACATTTCTAATGAGTTACTTGTCTTGTAAAATTAGACTGCTTCTAGGTGGAGGACTGTATATATTGCTCAAGATTACTAAAACAATGTTATCTTGAAAAACACACCTGATTATCCAGACCACGATCAGCTATAGACTTGCTAGTTCTGTACTGTTGCAAGCTAAAGATAAAATCAATGAAACAAGTGAAAATTCATGTACTGAAATGGTTTTTTTCCTCCATTTCTTTCACTTATTTGAAGTCTCTGAATTATGTTTCTAGCTATGAAGTAATATTATCCATTATTTTAGCGGAGTCATTATTTACTAACCTTTGGGGTTTGTGTAAATAATCTGTGGTTTGGTCTTCCATTACTTTAAGAATTCCAGCACCCTGTGTTCTGTTTTTTCTTAGTTTGGTTTCTTTTTGGTGGTCATTATTTTTCATGTTTGTTAGTTCTGTGAGAGGATAGTGATGATCAGATTATATAGATTACATTCACAAAAGTCAAGCTGTTCTGACTGTCAATGCCTGAAATTTCTAACCTGTATTAGAAATTCAGTTAATCAATCCAATAAATAATATCATCTCTGGGGTATGGAAATGTTGTATGAATAACAGAAGAAATAAATAAATTTTTTAAAAAGGTATTTTTGTTTTGAGAATTTATATCTAACTAGTTCTGATAACTAGTACAAGAAACATTATCACAGATGGCAAAACACTTAAATATTTGCAATAGAATAAGCATCACCTTTTTTACATTAACTGTAAAATTCTACTCAAATATTAAGACTTGTCTTCCGAAAGTATTTCCTCGAAACCAATTTATGTTATAATTTTGATTAATCTTTCAAATCTAATTTAAATGTGTCAGTCATCTCTTTCTTGGCAATCACCAAAAATTTATGAAGATTAAGAACATTATATAACTGTTCAGGGACTTAATGGCCTTCAATATCCATAAGAACCCTACTTTAAAGGAAGTAGTAGTTAATAGGTTTCTTCCAAACAACATTTTCTATTTTGACAGAGAACTGGTATCTAGTTCATGTGTGCTTTAAAACTCTTCATACTTTTATACTAATTTTACTCTAATCTGCTCAAACAGTTCTCTCACCTCTCAGCTTTAGGAATGACACTGTTCAATAGCATATAAGTAAACATTGTATGAGAGAGCGGGGAGGAAACACTTCCTCTTCAGTAGTAACACATCCACGGGGAAGATGACAGTCAAAGCTGAACTAAATAGATGCTTTCCCTGATATACTGGTAACAAGATTATTTTCATTTAAAAGTGCTGTAGAATTATGGGATCATTTGTCCCCCAATCTTTACAGCAGCTGTTTAGTAACTTTTTTTTTTCATATAAATAAGATTAGACAAATGGATCAACTATAGTGCAGTGTTTCCCTCTATCAGTAAGCACTGATAAAGAAGGACTCAACTAAAGTAAAACTACAGCTCTTTGAAAGATATTATTATTTTAAAAGTTAGAATGCTGTTCTGATAGCAGTATTCCACCTCTTGTTTTAACTACAGATTTCTTAAAACTTGGCTTTACTCTGCCAACTTCCTAAAACACATGCTTTAGCAAAAAAATGACAATGAAAAGTTGTACCTTTTTGATATTTAATGTGATTTTGGGGTGTTTGGTTATTCTGGCCTTGTGAATCACTGTGGTTTACATGAAGAGTAAAAGCAGTTCCTTTGGCTTTGTCATTCCACTTAGGAGTGTTACCTTCTTCTTGATCTTGACTGAGATGACTTTGCTGAGAAGTCCTATGTAACA